TATGTCACAAGGAATGATCAAACCACCAAGCGATACGTGATGTAACGGCCTGCAGTTTCCGATGGTCTGACAATTTTCACGACTTGTCCTCTTTTCAAGCCAAAATATCGTGCAACCGGATCTGATAGCTGGATTCTTGGTAGTTGGGTGTCTTTCAGTTTGCTGAAAGGGAAATTAGCGTATGGCTGGGCGAAAACGAGGTGAACTTACTATCGGGCTAACAGTTCTGCCTTTTCGTCACTGGTCATCACAACATGTTCAGGGACTAGCTCGTGCTCAGTGATGTTCACCATGAGTTCCGATTCGAGAAAGTGTTCCAGGATATACTTAGGGGCCATATCAGCAATAGCCTGAGTAAGGTATGAATAATTTTGAACACTGAGCTCCTTATATGGTAGAGACAGTTCCTACCTCCAAAAACAAAATAAAACACTTGCAAATGCGGAAAATAAAGCCACACCAAAAGACATCAAACTCACTTGTTTCGCACTTGGAGTCATTCCCGTTTGCACTACGATAATCGCTCTTGTGATAGTTTGCTCTTGCATCTGCTGACAGATTGCTTTGATAGTTTTGATTCCGATTTTCGTGTCTTCTGGGAAGAATACGAACATTTGATCTGAAAGAAAAGCATTGCATGATATAGATAGACGGGCTAAGACAAGTTACCCGTTGGATCGTCATTATGAGCGACAAGAATAGTAAGGTCACTGCGCGCAGGTTTTCTTTCACTGGGACGATCACCAAACATCTCCTTGAATTCATCCAAAGTCTGATCCAACTCTTCTTGAGTTACCAGGTAACCACGATCGTGGCACATCTATAACGTACCTACATTTGGGAGTGATGCGCAGAATATTCATGCAAAGGTCAGTTAAAGGCAGACAAAACTAAAAACCTAACTTCAAACAAAATCCAAGAAGGAAACAAGAGGAAATGAAATGTTGTTTGATTACTAACCAACCTGCATGATCGTTTTCCGGACCCTCCATAATTTATAGGTTTCTTGCTCGTCATCTGCCATAACTCTACAAGTGCAGTTTTTTCTATTAGCGATCATATGACCATTCTGACACAAAGTAACTTCAGAAAAGTACTGTTCGTTGGCCAAAATACTGAGAAACATTAGTAAAAATTTATGCACTGCAATGAAAAACAAAGTAACAAAATAAGTAACCGGGAAAATTGAAACGCTTCAAACGATGAGCTAGCTTTCTACCCTGTACAGTTTGACGATGAGGTATATAAAACTCTGAAGATAAAATAATATCCACATGTCCTCATTCAAGCATGCAGCTCTTTGTTGGATATCTTTGGGGCTTGCACTTGCACTTGAGGTGTGCCAGGCTTTAGACCTACAATAGACAAACAAATCAATCTAAATGTGGTTCCGATATTTTTGGTGATTGCTTACCAAAAAGTATGGCACCACCGACAAGGGCAGCAATAGTGATTCCTTGAGCCAAGCAACGACCACGCATGTAGAGCTGAGCTTTTTCTGGTTTGCGCTTTATAGTTGCGCTTAGCATGCCTGAAAAGCAATACATGATTGGAAATGCAGTACGATTTTTAGATCTTCAGTGAACTTACCGATAAGGCAACCAACAGTAGCAATCATGCCAATTGGCACAAACGGATTACTCATAGCTCTATGAAGCACAGTGGAAGATATGCTTGAACTATTTGATCCTTCTAAAACAACCAAAATAATTTCACTTTCCAAATCTGAATTGCAAACGTCAACAGAAATAAGATGAAACTCACGCGAGAAATCTTGTGGGATCAAAGGCACAGTAGAATACTTCTCCTTTTCCACCTAAAATTGATGTTTAAGAAAGCGCAGCTGATTCATTTTCTCCAGCAAAAACAAATCATGCAAGCTCACCTGCCATTTCATATGCTGTTCGTGATCGGTGAAATCGTGTGGAGGTGGAGGGGAAGCTGGCATCTGAAAATTGTGTTTTCTTGCAAACACGCAAAGCCAATGGAAAAATCGAGGAACTTTCCACGTTTTAAATACGAAAATGTAGAAAATACGGGAATCGCGACAATGTGTGCAGTTGCAGAAGTGAGTCTGTTACAGTCTCAAAATGCGCGAATGCAATAGACTTCTGCACGGGAAACGTTCGCTATTTATTGCTGGTGATGTTAATCCATAGCGTTTATTTTCGAAGCACCAACGTAGTGTCTCAAGTCAAATTACTCGAAAACTGATATTTTGTTTGCAAGTGTGTATAAACTTAATTGAGCATTTGCAGGGGCAAAATGGTAAACATTGCAACTTTATTGCCGTTTCTTCCTGACCGATGCCGTAACCTTGAACAGATATGCTTATCGTCAGGTACTAAAGTTCTTTATTCTTTTGACTCTAGTGCAAATATGGTCGAGTTATTTCATATGATTTTGTGTGCATTGCACACACCGCTCCTTTGGCGTCTTCACCCTGGATTTGCAATCGCGGAAACGCAAGAGACTGACCGATTGTTATCGTTTACATCATTTTGAGGTGATTAGTTAGAAGAAATGGAAAAACATCAAAAACACTTCGATAATACTGACTGGAAAGGTCCTCGACTAGGATGGGAACGCCAAAGGTGGACAGTGATGCAACATAACATACAGGATCATATAAAGTGATTCGACTGTAGTTACAATAATGTCTATAGACTTTATGACCAGCCTTACAGGAACCAGAAACAAAACGAAAGAACGAGGTCTACTGATATAGGGCCTTCAATGCATGCTTCCGCGTATCCCATATCACTGAGTAGCAGTAGCGATCCCAGGATTTCGGTAT